ACAGAGATACATCTCTGTGTGGCAAAGCATTTCCTGTATTTCTCCCTCTCGCAGTGGTCCTTCAATCAGGGTTGAGTTATGACCAGTCTGGCCCGCACACAGCGATCTCTGCTTCCTCATTAGGCCTTCATTAACCCTCTCAAGCTGAGCTTCCACTCAGCTTACCAGCGGATGTGTTTGAACACCATTCTTCATTTCCCACAATCCCCCGCTGCTCAGCACAGTGTACGGGAACTATGGTTCAGTGCCGGGCTTTCAGCACATTTACTGTAAAATGACATACAAGGCTCTGGGGACATACATTGACCTAATGTGCTGCACAGACACATTCATGAAGAGAAACTGCTTTTGGATGTGTCAAATGCATGTCATTATTTTGACAAATAATATCCCTTTTGCGATGCCTCAATAGCTTTAAAAATGAGACTCTCGAACAATGATGGATATAGCCGCTGCTATACCTTTATGCCCTTGTGTTCGCCTGAGAACATCTGTAATATAGATATAGAAATATCCTCAGCAGGTTTAAAAAAAAAAAAAGAGGTAATGTAATGTCAAAACTGGTTTTTGATCTCAGATCTCAAATTAAAAGTAATTTCTGGTATGTTGGTGGCTGCCATATTAAGTTTGGGACTCTGGGAGGCTGATGTGATAAAAGTGATCATATGATCAGTGTTAGTTCCTCAGTAAGCAGTTCACTGTTAGTGTGTGTGTGTGTGTGTGTGTGTGTGTGTGTGTGTGTGCATGTTTATGGGGTTTCTGAAGACACAAATGTGTATAATAACATGGGTATGACATAGGTATTACAATAAGAAGGTGATTTATGAGGACATTTTCAGTGTCCCCGTAATTCAAAAGGCTTATAAATAATTCAGAATGAGTTTTTTTGAAAATCTAAAAATGCAGAAAGTTTCCTGTAAGGGGTAGGTTTAGGGGTAGGGTTGGTGTAGGGCAATAGAATATACGGTTTGTACAGTATAAAAACCATTACGCCTATGGAGAGTCCCCATAAACCATAAAAACAAACCTGTGTGTGTGTGTCCATGACCACAGAAAATTGGAGCAATGGTAAACTTGCATTAATTCACCTAGGACAGTTTTACATTAAATAATTAATGTTTAGGAGACTTAACTAAACAAGTGAGCAAACAGTCTCCTGTGAGTCTCATAACCAAATGAACAAATACATTAATATCCTAATGAGTTAAATGGGACTATATTTCAATAAAATTCCCACACCACAGTATTTTTGTACTTAAGTGTATACATATTTAAATACAAACACACACAGTGTCTACAGAGAATAATATAAAACATATGTTCATATCTTTAATATTATACACACATACATAAAGTATATATTTATGTACAGTATGTGTGTGTGTGTAAATCTAGGTTTAGTATTATAGACATATAATAATGTTTATATTGCTACCTGTATAATTAAACCTGTAAAATAATTCAGTACTATATATCAGTAAGTATAGTATTGGTTATTAGTATTGTATATTTATATTGGGATCCAAGACTAATAGTTTGGATTGCACCCTCTCTTTTACTTCCCTTCTTCATCCCTCTGTTAATTTATCCTTTATTTTACCATTGGACATCTATACTCTGGGGCCATTTAGATATAAATAGCACAAGGCGGAAACAGAAAGTTCTCTCCATATCTCCTCTATCTCTCCTAAAGTCTAGGTGCCCTGCTCTCTGAACATAATGCCTGAAAAAGGTGCGGACGACCTCTACTATCAGGACCTCTCACCTTTCCATTCACTCTGTGCCTGAGGGATGAGTGAGAGAGAGACTCAGATGTAATGATCTAAATAAATGCAGAAGAGTTCCCAGCAGGAAATTCTTCTCCCATGTATTTGCTAACACAGTGGTTCTCAACTAGTGGGATGCAAAAATGGGTCACAGGTTTGTTCTGAAAAAAATTAATGCTAAATGCAGCTAATATTCATGTATAGTTATGGTGAATAAATAGGCCATTTGTCCAATCAAACAACATTATTTTGCTGCAAATTCATGTCATTTTGTAGATGCATGCAAAATTAGACAGATGCTTTCATGAACATGTTGCATGGCAATGCCTAGTCCTAAAAATTCCAAGGTCAAAGAAAATATGAAACAGGCTACATTAAAAACACTTAATTTTTTTCATGTTAAGGTCGTTTTGTTTACTTTTTTTGGGTCAGGTAATCTGGATCCTGTAAGAAAACCAGTTGAGAACCATTGGCTTATTGACATTCTAGATTCTTCTTTGTTCTCAATGGGCGTTTAGGTTTTTGTAGAGATTCCTATGGTTGTGTTGTCCCCTTTTTGTGTCCTAGCCCTTGGTCTTTATAGCCATCTTAAAGATGTCTCTCATTCCAATTCCGAGTTGAAAGGATGAAGAGGCGAAAAAACTGCGCAGGACCATTTTTTCCCTCTATCTTTATGGCCACGGCATCCCCCGGAGACATTCTCCTGCACAAAAATAAAAATGTTACTAGTCTCAAGTCAAGTCTTAACATTTACTCCAAAGGGCAGGCCATAAACTATTAATAGACAGCTATCTATCTGCACAAGGCTGTGAGGGAGAATGATTTTATATTGAATCCTCATGTGGTTTGCCAGTAAGGGGTAGAAGAGGTGGTCCGGTCTCTCGCCATCCCGCAGGGAGTCCTGCTTTATCTCCCTCTCCATCCACCATACACTCTCCATACACGAGACGAGAGAGGCCATTACAAGGCTGTCAGGGAATATTGCAATATTCAGCAAGGCGATTATCTGACGTCTCCCTGGGAGGCACATTTCCTCCGTGGAGGGAGAGAGAGGCATACCTGTGGCAGAGCGGGAGAGAGTGAGGCTGATAAGGACCCTTAGAGTTGACAGAGAGGAAGTATCACCTTTCTTGGTTTTAAAGGAGGTCTTTCAGGGCAGGAATTAATATTTATATAGGGTCTCAAAATCTAAAGGTGATCGCCAGCTGTAATGCTTCTGTTTTGCGTTTTATTAACGTATAATATAGTTTCTTTGATTTAAAAAAATGTTTGATCAGCGTAACTATTTGAGTTGAAGTTGAATTGAAAGAGATGCATTTCTAAATTTCTTAGTATCATCTGAAGGTCTGTACAAAGGGGTTTGCAAATTTTGTTATGATTAGTGAAGAAAAATGCAGGATCTTCATTCCTTATTCATTCTACATTTCTTTATGTAAATAAATTCACTAAACCTTTCTGTTTATTTTCAGGTTTAAGTGACATTTCCAATTCTAGAATTTCAGTGTGGCCTTTTAAACCCCACTGAAAAAAATATGCAAATACGAAGGAAATGTTTGTTATTTAAACATTTGCTGGATCTTTGATTTTAGTAATACAGTGTAATACAACCCTACAGGTTGACGGCAGTCTTTCTTTGTGTTGTTTTCTACTCTTGTTCACATGAGCTCTTTGTTTTGGGAACATGGGAAGAATCAAAAGAGGGTTTTGTGTTGAGATCCCTGCTGTACTAGTGTATCATAAAAATCTTAAGCAGGATGGCCGGTCTGGGTGGTCCGGAATGGAAAGAGATGGACTTGAATATGGGATCCGGTCTCCTCAGTGATAAGGGAGTGCTGGGAGGTTTTATGTTTTTTGTTTTAATTTTCCATTTCAATCTTGATGTTCTGCTCCTAAGTGACATTGCTTGCATTCTGGTGAGCTGTGGTTAGAGATGACTAGAAGTTTAAGCTTAAGTGGAGGAAGTGAAGAGTGGCGATGAATGATAATGTGTTCTCTTCTTTTGTATGTATTTAGTACAAATTCAATACAAATGTGCTATAAAACCTTAAAGGAAATACTGTCAGTCCAGTATACAGTTGGTAAACTGTGCACAGTATGCACATTTATGTCCCATAATGCAGCTCAATCATCTTGACCTTTTATTTCCAGTGTGATTCTACCTGTTAAGACATTTTTATATACAGTGGGGCAAAAAAGTATTTAGTCAGCCACCAATTGTGCAAGTTCTCCCACTTAAAAAGATGAGAGAGGCCTGTAATTTTCATCATAGGTATACCTCAACTATGAGAGACAAAATGAGAAAAAAAATGTGTGACAACCTTGTGAAGACTTACAGAAAACGTTTGACCTCTGTCATTGCCACCAAAGGGTATATAACAAAGTATTGAGATGAAATTTTGTTATTGACCAAATACTTATTTTCCACCATAATTTGCAAATAAATTCTTTAAAAATCCTACAATGTGATTTTCTGGATTTTTTTTCTCATTTTGTCTCTCATAGTTGAGGTATACTTATGATGAAAATTACAGGCCTCTCTCATCTTTTTAAGTGGGAGAACTTGCACAATTGGTGGCTGACTAAATACTTTTTTCCCCCACTGTAAATTAGGTTGTACAATGTACATGCAAAAATACCTTTTTTTATTTTCAAAATGATAACTAGATGGCACTCACTATTTTAAACATGGACAAATGTGGCAACAATGTAGCATGCGACTGTTCGAGAATTTTAGTATTGAATAATGCACTGTGTTTAAAGGCAGGGTAGGTGATTTGGTTAAAAAAAATGTTTTGTTATGCTGGTTGAAAGTCTCTTCACAAATACAAAGCAATCACTAAGTTAAGTGGTCTAAATGTATCGATATGTATTTATATTGTCTGTGGAAGGCGTAGGACCAAAAAATTTTCAAATGTGTCCAATCATTGCTATTGTAATAAATGTGTTGGCTGTTTTGATGATGCCTCACTGTGTATATCGATAGTTTGCCAAAATTGTTTCACTAAATAAACTTTTGTACTGTTTTAGACATTTTTCGATTTTGTACAAAGTAAGAAAAGTCTCTAAAAATGCCTCAGTGTCATAAATGAGTCCCCTGAGCTCTAGTTATGACAGGTTTGAGTACTAGTACTTTCATATTTATTAATAGTGTTGCCCGTAGCCATGTGTTTACCCAGAGATGCATTGATCCAGGTTTCCCTTATGCTAAATGCCTCTTTTCCACTCTTTCTGCAGATCGACCGTGTCATATTCTGCGTCTTTCTGGAGACAGATTATGAGATTTACAAGAGGAAGATGTCAGATTTCTTCTCCCCAGGTACTGTATCTTCTTATTGGAGTCTAACTTCATTTTATTTGTTGGTTGTAACACCCACTCAGCTCAAAGCTTGTTACTCGAGTATCAGGCAGGATTCACAATGTCAGGCGTCTGACTGGCGTGACGCCTGGAAGAATTTGTATCATATTTTGTAGTCAAAGTGCACAAATACAGCACAGCAGGCAGTGATTGGATTCCACATAACCAAAACCTGTTTATGGTAATGTACCGCCCAGACTGGATTATTTAAACTGAAAATGATTTCACCCCACCTTGATCATACAATGCAATCAGGATAACCACAGTCAGACTCTCTTCCAATTAAAGGGCTGTTTCATTAAAAAATGTATGTTATGTCATCATGTGCTCATTTGCTGTCACCATTTATATGCTGTTCCAAACTCGCACAATTTATTTTTCTGTACAATACAAAAGTAAAATGCTGAAGACTGTGGTCACTTTTTAAAAATTTTTTTTGCTGGATAACGCTTTACAATAAGGTTTCATTTCTTAACATTAGTTAACATGAACTAACAATTAAAAAAAAAATACTAAAGCATTTATTAATATTAGTTAAAGGGTTACTCCACCCCAAAATGAACATTTTTGTTATTAATCACCACAACCCCCATGTCGTTCCAAATCCGTAAAAAGCTTTGTTCGTCTTCGGAACAAAAATTACTGTTCTGTGCTGCGCAATGCGGATATGTTGTTTTCATTCAAATCAAAACGTAAATTACATAAACAGTGTATCCACGTGGCGCAGCTGACACAGAACAGCATACACGGTTTGCGTTCAATGGATATTCTGTTGAATAAAGTCGTTATTTTTGTTTTCTGTGATCAAGTAAAAAGACAGTATAAGTCATTATAATCCATAATTATGTCCCCACTGGATGCAACGAATGCCTAGTTTATAATGGGTTTTCATGTTTTTGAATCATCGCTCCGGCCTGACAGGGCATCACAGTATGGTAGGGGCGTAACATTTCCGTCACACGCTTGAGGTATTTGGCCAATCACAACGCACTGGATAGCTGGCCAATCACAGCACACCTTGCTTTTCAGACCAATCGGCTTTGTAAAAATCGACGCGTTTCAAAAAGGTGGGGCATAGAGAAGAAACAATAATGTACAGTATGTGGAAAATAATGATTTTTTTTGTACCTTAAACTGCATAAACACATTTCATTAAACCAAATACACAAAATATTGTTCTTAATGCAACATCATATGACCCCTTTAAAATAAAGATTTATATCTCTTAACATCAGTTAATGTACTGTGAACTAACAAGGGACAAATATATTTTTTAATTAAACATTAACAAAGGTTAATAAATTCTGTATATTGCTTCGATAGTTTATGAGCTAATGCATTAACTAATGTTCATGAATGAAACATTACTGTAAAATGTTACCATTTACTGTGAATAAAGAACTTTCATTCTTCAAAAAATATTGAAAAGCATCATAAAAGACACATGTAAGTTATTCCATGAAATCTCCTTGTGTTCATATAGACGTAAAGATGTCCAAAGTGCTCTTTTGAGTTGGATATTTTCAATGAATCTGGAATCTGGTTCACAAAACTAACATGAATGATTCGTTCATCATAATTCAGTTGGTAGCAACAGGTAACAACTCACTAGAGGTGGCAGTTATCACTTAAATTTTGAGAGAGAAATTTTTTTTTTCCCTCATTCAAAAGACCTGAAATATAGTGGATGAGTTTATGCTAAATTTGCATGATGAAATCTTCAGTCTTCATTCATCATAATTGCATGGAAAAGAGTGACCAGCATGGTCTTTAGACTCTTAGGTAGTCATACAAGTTTGGTGCAACATGAGGATGAATAAATGATGACCATTTTTTTGTGTAATTGCTAAAATAATTTTCAGACCGGTTTCCCAGAATCAGTATTGCTCTGTCAGGCAAACAGAGTATTGTTGAAGTTGCCACAGGGGAAATCAACCTACAAATGGCTTACTTATATCACATTAAGCCAGGTTAGGAGAAAGCATTTTAACACTGACAAAAACATAGACACCATGTTTAAAGAATAAATCAAATACTACATATAAAAAAAAAAACACACCGAGAGGAAAGGAGAGAAATAGGATAAGCTTTGTGCATTGGAACGTGTTTTCACTGTCTGCATCTTATGGCTCATTGCATTCGCATCTCCATTTGTAACCAGCTGCCTTTGAGTGATTTTTGGTGTTTCCACAAACTCAATTCGTAACTAAGCTCTTAGGCCCCTATAACATCTCGCTTTTCCTCGCTGCTTGAGAATCCAAGGAAATCCTCTAGTGTATGAGTTTAACAGGTGTGGAGCATTTTGACTTCTAGTATTTCATAGTACCGATTGCTTGTTTCTGAAGCGCAATCGTTGTAGCCTGGAGGTCCATATGTAGAGCATGACTCAAAGGGGCTTTACTTCTGTCAACACCCTCAGTGATCCTGAGCCTCGACGGCAAACCCCAGATGTCGGAGGCACGCAGGACGGCACCTCCTCAGTGACATTCCACCTCACACTTTTGCTTGTCTGTTTTTGGTTGGATCATGTGGTCTATGATGCTGGCGTCGGTTTATGTAAAGATTAACTGTCGTATGATGGAACTTTAGAAGTCGGTTCCTCGGTTTTCACTTTCTTTGTCTTGCACTTTGGCCTTCTGTCAATGTCAATATGACTGTTTTGCTTTCACCCAATCCCTCACTTTGTCTCTCTTTCATTTTTTGCTCCCTCTCCCGCCTTATGATACGTGGCACTAGCTAGTTCCATGGGAACTTGTCTATTGTGCGCCCATGTAGCGTTTCCCTCTCTTTAAAGGCCAAGTCTCTCTCAGGAAGCCTCTTTTCAATCTCCCTGAGTGCTAAACAAACATATGATGTGAGTGCAGGCCGCAACAGAGCCCTTTTGGACCTTCCCAAGTGTCCTGCTGTCTCGCTCTGCCTGAAGCTCGCTGCACTTCCATGACAAGACCCCCTGGAGGTTTCCAAATGAGCCGCTGCCTGGAGGTTCATCATTTGTATGGACACACACACACACACAAACAAACAGGTGAATGGTGAATGCACTGTACCGGGAGAATAATATAATCCACCATTACCTCCCCTCAAGCACACACTAGGACTTGTGAACCGGGCGGAATAATAAGTGTCAAGACACTCACTTTTTCCCTACTTGTAGAATGTTTTGTTTCTGTCATGTTCCTGTCACACACACACAAACACACACACACACACACTTTCCTTCTTCCAGGTCGTGCTGAAAGATAGAATTCACCAGAGAATTTGTAATTATATCAGCCAGGTCCGTGTTCCCCAGGCATGTCTCTTTGTATTAGTGTTTAGAAATGAGATGGCGGCGCTACTCTCTTAGTTTACAACCAATCAGAATGAGCCAGTCACCCCACTTCAGCTTTCTCCAAATTAGAGGATAGCATTCTCCTTTTCACTCATTCTCTGTTTTTTATTTGGACCTCACTGAAGTCTCTTTTGGTTCAAAAACACTTACATTTGAAGGGACCATATTTTATAGTTTTGCAGTATATGTAGGTCAGAGGCGTCATACCCATTCACGTGCCCCCTCAGATTTCTGAGCCAAGTGGATTTTGAATGCAGCTTCCAAAAGACAAAAAATAGGCGAATAATATTTTTTCTATTTGATACAATCACATCAGTGTGATTAGATCGTTCAGTGTGGCACAGCACCAACTGCTAAATTCAAATCTGCGTTCGCTGGCTGGCGCTGAGCCGAAGACAGACGCGTTTGTACAGCACTGCATTATAACCAATCACACACGATTCTGTTGAGCTTATGAATGCAATGGCCAATCAGAGATGTTCAGATGAGTCATCGCTGAAACGCAGTGTTTTGTTCACTTGCTCGCTGACTGAATTATCTGGCGAATTCTCTCATCAGAAACAGCAAAGTGCAGATGTGCGTACGAATGTAAGTAAGATCTTCATTTCACAGTGTAAACAGCTTCAGTGATTTTTAATGGGAGTTTTTGAGAGTGCCTGAACTCTGGCTAGACTGAATGTAGATGTTCTTTGATAATGTAAATGTTCTTTGCTCTCTGTAAAATTAAAGTGTTATAATTAGTAACTCACAATATTGTTATTAAATTCACATTAAATACAAAGTCAGTCATATTAAAAATATTTTATGGCATGACACCCATATCTGGAATTTTCCTATTGAAAGCAAATGCCATCGAAACTTTTCTGAAAACAGTCGGTTTCCTATTATGCATTCATACAAATAATTCAATCATACATTCTTTCATATAATTTCCCTCAGCAGTCTGCTTTCAATCATGTTTTCACACAAAACGAAACTACGTGTTGCGCCTGCGCAAGACTCTTAATAACTTTGATTAAAGCTGAGCAGTATTTACTGTGAGTTCTTCAAATCGCGATAATCAAATTAGTGATGATTAAAATATGAAACTGGATTGTAACAAAGTTCGTAGATCGGGAAGGAGGAGGAGGGAACCGGCGAACATTTAACATAAAATTTTAATAAATAAATAAACAAACAAACACAAAACAAAAGTAAAAGTGGCAGCCCCTCACAGACGACTGCCGCATAAAACATAATATAAGAACAACAACATAAAGTCCAGGCCTGGTCCTCTCTCATCCTTCACTATCGTTACTCCTCCTTTTATCCTTCCGGAGCTCCTCCGTGGGACTCGAGACCAGTGAGTGGTGCAGGTGTCGCTCATTATCTTTCACTCCACCGGCCTCGCTCCGCTCCCACGGCTCTCAGCCCTGCCCCACTCATCACAGGGATAATTAAAATAACCTCACGGCTGGTATGTCAAGTATGTCTTGGCGAGCTACCTCCAATCAGGTCACAAGCTACTGGTAGCTCGCGAGCGACGTGTTGGAGACCCCTGACCTAAAGTAAACTTGTAATAGTTCCACATAGTTCCACAATCAAATCAAAAAAAGCAGGAGCTATACTGGAAATAGTGAATGAGTGTTTT